CATAACTTTAATAAGAAAATATTCCACAATGTACTTAATTTCCAAATAAGAGCAAAAGTGATTTAAGAAAGTTTCACCTAATTAACTTTCTGCCAAAATTGAGAATTTAATCCTTATACTTAAACAAATATTTTGAAAACAGCTCTAAATTTCCTCTGGTTTCCTTCACTTCTTTGAAAACAACAAGTTAAGTTTTACTTTGATAAATTTGCTTCCTCCAATTTCTAAAAGGTTTCTTACCTCCAGATATTGTTATATTGATGGTCTTGGTGACATTAAACAGTTTTCCATTATAATTAAGGGAAAGCACACAGGTGTAATATCCTTCATCTTCAAACTCTGCATTCTTCTGAAAATTTAATGGGTTTTCATTGTTCTCTGCTATCTGTTTACAGTCCTGTTTTTTTAAAAAGCAAATTAAAATAGTTTAAGTAAAAGCAAAATTCATATTGTACTGATTCAAACATTTAAAAATTCTAAATCTCTCAGAAAAGGGAAACAGAAGGAAACCTAGTAATTTGGGATTAAAAGTTCCAGTGGTTTGGCACTGCTTTATTTGAACAATGAAATGCAGTACTATTTTTATTATTTTTATCATTTTTAATATATTCTAGGAAATGGGACATAGTAGGCTCTGTAGCTATTTTTGTCATTTTCTTTCAATCTCTCCCTTTTTCTCTCTTCTTCCTTCTTTCTTTATCTATCTGTCTGTCTCTTATATATACACACAAAAAGAGAGAACAATTTTTTTTTTAAATCCTGCTTGGGTCAAAACATTCAGCTATATATATATATATACACATACACTAGAATTAAAACTAGAGTGTAATTCTGTGCTTTCAGAACTATCCAACCCAGAGGATGGGTATTAAATGTAAGGGCAGAAGCTCTCAGAGAACTGGGTCCCTAGCAGATAACAAGTCTTTCTTGATGCTCTCCATTAGACAGTAGCGACTGATTAAGAACGCATCAAAAATATTCAAATCCATAGGAACACCCAAACATCTATCATAAATGTCAACATATGTTACAGGTATTAAAAAAGAAAATGTCTCCTTTACTCCAGTCCCCAATCACCTAATACAAGTGCAGAAGCAATCCAGGGACTAGATTGGGCAAAATGGGGGTTGAATTGCTAACCCTACTCATTGGTGAGTATTCTTTACAATGTCAGGAGTGCAAAATATATTCAAGTCTCTACCAGATTAGAGGAGCAATTATCCACAGGCCTCTCCCTCAAAGCTAGACAGAGGAGATGGCAACTGGGACTAATCTTAGTTGAGGTTAAGAAATAGCTACACAGGAGGTGAGGCTTGATGGGGCTAGGGTGGAGGTGCAGTGAAGGTCACCATCAGCCATCGAATACCAGACAAAGCAGATCCAGGGCAGAGCTCCAAAACTCAGAACCACATAGATATGAATATTATAAAAGTTTGAAGGCTTATAGCTAGTGGAACTTGAAGCAGAAGTAAGAAAT